GAAAATAGGAACAGATGGTCTTTCCCTCAATCTGATAAAAGCCATCTATCACAAACCAACAGCTAACATCATTCTAAATTGTCAAAAATTGGAAGCTTTCACTTTAAAAGCAGGAACAAGACAAGGATGTCCACGGTCACCAATCCTATTCAATGTAGTTCTGGAAATACTAGCCAGAGCAGTTAGACAAGACAGAGGAATAAGGATAAAAAAGGAAGAAGTGAAATTACCATTATTTGCAGATGATATGATAGTCTACATAGAAGACCCCAAACATTCCATGAAAAGGCGTATAGATTTAATAACCAAACTCAGTAGCATAGCTGGACACAAAGTCAGTACTCAAAAACACTACCATTCCTGTACACAAACAACAGACTGCGAGAGAAATTAGGGAAACCACACCTTTTATAATAGCATGTTAAAAAAATGAAATACTTAGGAATCAATCTAACAAAAGAAGTAAATGATCTATACAGTGAAAACTACAGACCTCTGAAAAAAGAGATCGAAGAGGATTTCAGAAAATGGAAAGATATTCCTTGCTGGTGGGTAGGAAGAACTAACATTGTGAAAATGGCCATACTCGCAAAATTGTTGTATGGAATCAATCCCAGTTAAAATACCATTAATATACATCACAGATTTAGAGAAAACATTCCTAAAATTCATCTGGAACCAGAAGAGGCATAGAATAGCAAATGCAATCCTGGGCAACAAAGAAAAGGATAGAAGCGTCACAATCCCTGACTTGAAATTATACTACAGAGCTACTGTGATAAAATCAGCATGGTACTGGCAAAAAACCAACCTGAAGATCAATGGAATAGATTAGAAGATGCAGACACAGGTACAAACACACTCAGCCACCTTCTCTTTGACAAAGGGGCCAAACATGTTCACTGGAAGAAAGCCTCTTTAATAAATAGTGCTGGAAAAACTGGCTTTCCACATGCCAAAGACTAGACCCATGTCTATCACCATGCACTAAAGTAAAGTCAAAAGGGATCAAAGATCTAAATATGAAGACACAAACACTAAATCTAGTAGAAGAGAAAGTAAGTAAAAATCTCAAAGACAAAGGGGTAGGCAGAGAGTTCATGAGCAAAAACCAAACTGCTGGGGAAATACTTCAAAGAATCAATAACTGGGATCTTCTTTTACTGAAAAGTTTTTGCACATCAAAAGAAATCACCAACAAAGTAAAAAGAAAACCCAGGAATTGAGAAAAGATCTTAGCCAAGTGCCCCTCAGACAAAGGACTTCAATCTAGAACATAGAAAGCATTTTTTAAAAAAAACAGGCCCTCAGAATTCAAAGACCCAATCCAAAAATGGGCATCTGAAATGAATAAACATTTCTCACATGAAGAAATACTAATGGCGAATAAATGTATGAGAAAATGTTCAACATCATTAGTCATTCAAGAAATGCAAATTAAAACAACACTGAGATTCCATCTCACTCCAGAAAGAATGGCTGTCATTAAGAAATCAACCAATGACAAATGCTGGAGAGGCTGTGGGGAAAAAAGGAACACTCCTCCACTGCTAGTGGGAGTGTAGAATGGTGAAACCACCATGAAAATCAGTTTGAAGATTCCTCACAAAACTAGGATTAGAAGTCCCACTTAACCAAGCTATTTTCTTTCTGGGTTATTTTTCCAGAAGAATTAAAAACATCATACCACAGCAATATATGTGTACCCCTGTTTATAGCAGTGCTGTTTGTCATAGCTAAACCTTGAAAACAATCCAAATGCCCATCAATGTGTAAGATGTCATATGTTTATACAATGGAGTATTACTCAGCTATATAAAATGATAAACTTGAGGCTTTTATAGGTAAATGGATGCAACTAGAAACCATACTCATAACTAAAATAAATCGGACCCACATGTATAAACATACTGTCTCCCTAGTGTAATAACCGGAAAGACTAAATAAAACTCAAAATGTACAACAGATAATATGAAAGAGAAAGAAATCGCTCAAAGGAAGGAACAACTCAGATGAAGTAAAGAAGAAAAAGAACGAAGGATATATATATAGATATATATGAATTATATATATGAATATAAAAGGATAGCTGGGATAACTGTACTGCTGATGTCTGATGGGTTATTGAAAGGAACAGTTAATGCTTAATTTTTTTGAATTTTGACCAATTTTGCATGCTTATATCTGGTAATCTGAGCAACTGATATGAAGACAACAATATGCAATGTAACTACCATTGATGAA